GGTTAATCCTTGAGAGGGTTAAACCAGGCTACTCTTTGGAGACAAGGATTCTGAAGCTTCGTCTGACATACTTTGGACATATTGTAAGAAGGCACCAGTCTTTGGAGAGGGACATCATGCTTGGGAGGGTGGAGGGAAAGTACAAGACAGAAAGGCCCTCAAGATGGATTGATTCAGTCACTGGGATAATGGTAGTAGGTGGGTCAGAGACAGTGAGATTGGCACAGGATAGAGCAGAGTTTAAGGGTGTTTTACGCAGGGTCTCTATAGGTTGTAGGTGACTCAATGGCACATAACAACAATAAAAACATACTCCAAACAGTGGAATATCTGGGTCAAATGGAATTTCTATGTTTGACTTTTTGAGGAAGCACCAAACTGCCTTCCAGGGTGGTTGTACTATTTTACAATCCCACCCACAATGTATAAAAGTTCCTTTGTCTCCACATCCTCTCCAGCATTTATTACTTGCTGCCCTGTTAAACTTTGCCACTTTTACTGGAGTGAGATGGTACCTCATTGTGGTTTTGATTTGCATCTCTCTTATTGCCAGTGATTTGGAGCATTTCTTCATGTGTCTGTTTGCCATTTGAATATCTTCCTCTGTAAATATTCTTTCCTTGTCTTTTGTCCATTTTATAATTGGTTTATCAGTCTTTTTCTTGTGGAGGCCCAGGAATATTCTCCAAACTTTCATTATGAGATTCTTGTCTGAGATGATATCACCAAATATTTGTTCCTAGTTGGTAGGTTTTCTTTTCACACTATTGGAAAAAGTTTTTTATGCACACATGGATTTAATTTTTTAAAGGTCCCATTCATTCATTTTATCCTCTTCAGAGTGTGTATTTCTTGCTGTATTTGGCAGTCTCTTTATACCTTGGGCTAACGCTTTGAAGCTTGATCCCAGTTTGTCTCTTTTTAAAAAAAATGTATTTTATTAATTTTAATGAAAATTTACCGAGATTTTGGATTTTCATTTATTTATTGTTGCACTTTTTTCTTTACCTCCCTCCTCCCAGTTCACTCCTCTCTTTGAAAAGCAAAAGATAAACTTCTTTGTTTGTATACAATCCCCCCAACCCTGCCCCCCCAATATGTCTCTTATAAACTTTATGGTTTGGGATTATACTCCCAGGTTTCTGATCCACCTTGAGTTAATTTTTGTGTGGTGTGAGATTTGGATCCTTTTTCAGCTTTCTGCAGGTAGAAGTCCAGTTTTACCAGCACAATTTATTGAAGAGGTTATCATTTCCCCATTTGATAGCTTTGATTTCCTTGTCAAATTTCAGTTGACCATAGATAGCTGGGTCTATTTCTGAGTTCTCAGTTATGTTCCATTGATCTATCTCCCTGTCATTGTACCAGAACCATGCTGTTTTGGTTACTACTGCCGTGTAGTAGGTTTTGAGGTCAGGGAGTGCTATGCTTCCCACCTCATTTTTGTTCCTCAGAAATTTTTTGCTTATTCAGAGTCTCTTACCTCTCCAAATAAATTTCACAATTTTCTTTTCACTCTCCTTGAAAAATGAATTTGGTATCTGGATTGAGTTTGCATTGAATATATAAACTGCTTTTGGTAGGACTGTCATTTTCACAATATTGAGTCTTCCTATCCATGATCAGGGCACATTTTTTTATTTCTTCAGGTCTTTTATTGTGTCTTGCAGAAATGTTCTATGGTTTTCTTTGTTTAGAGATTTTGTATTTCTAGTTAGGTTCACTCCCAAGTGTATCAATTTGTGGTTGGCTATTGTAAATGGTATTGCTTTCTTGATTTCTTTCTCTGAGTTCTCTTATACTCTAATTTTAAAGGAATTACAATTTTTGCACAAGACATCATTATCTTATGACAGTTGAATCAGAACTGACTCAGAGCTGACCTACAGGAATGTTATTAGAACATGCACATCACCCAGATGGAGATTATTTATCTTCCAGAGAGGTGCTGCGTATATTAGCAATGCAACTCCCTATGGACTACACCACCAGAGACCCTTAGTACAAGTAAATAAGTGCAATCTTTAACAAACAGGGTAAAACAGGTTCCAATGTTTCCCCTTAGAAAAAGGAGATGCTTCTCAGACACGCATATTAGTGATGCGAAACACCAATTCAGGTCTACATTCAAGTCAGGATGATGAATGTTTAAATGATGCCTGACAAAAATAAATCTCTCTTCCAGGAAGAACTCTGACCTCAAAGGATAGACAGCTCAAAGGTGTATTGTTGTCAGAGCCACAAGCCTGACATCCCTCTTGATAATAGTTTTCGATCCCTGACCCCAGTAAAGTTGCTGCTCTAAAAGCCATTTGTGTATTGATCTCCTGAGAAGAAAACCAGTAGGTGTCTAACAACAAGCAATCTTGAGAAGTGAAGTTAGTGTACTTCTAGTAGAGCAGCTGAGAGAACAGAGCAGAGGCTCCCAGTCATTCAGGACCTGAAAGGGAGTTAAGGGAAACCTGGGCAGCTGGGGCCACTTTACTTCTTAGTCTCAGAAACAAGGCCAGTTGGTAAGAGAAACTCAAAGCCAGGAGGCTTAACTACAGGGCAGTCTTGACTAATCTTCTCATCAAACTTGAAAATACAGAGAGGTGATAGGCAGGCTGGCCTGTAATAGAGACTAGTCCCTGAAACCAAGCCCCTTCAAGTTAAATCTCTTAGTAACCCTATGGCAAGTGTCCCACCTCCAGTCACATGTTAATCTTAAGCACACCACTTTGCAGAAAGGAACTCATGATTTTTCACTTGTGGGTAACGTTGAGATATAGAATTAGAAATTCCGTGGGACTGACTGCCAGGCTACAGAGCAGGGACTGAAGATTTAGAACTATTTTAGAAACGAGATTTTTGACACACGTACATAATCTATCTAAAGCAGCCAGAGAAAAATGCTAGCATCTGTTTAATGTCTTCTTTTTTTCCTCTTCACATGACAAAAAGTAGGATTATCAACTTGCCATGTTTAGAGGAGAAATTGTCTTAGAGGATTGCTATTACCTTGCTAATTCCATAAAAAACACTTTCAATGTTATAAATTTAAAATTGCACCCTGAGAAATTACTAATCATTGCTCTAGAACAAGCAAAAGTCCAGGCTTTGTGAGTTGATAGTCAACAAACAGCAGCCATGATTTCGGAGTGACTGATGCATTGTTGTTGTTGTTGTTGTTATGTGCCGTCGAGTCGCTTTCGACTCATAGTGACCCTGTGTACAGCAGCTCTAAATTCTGCTCTGTCCTGGGCCACTCTCATTTCTCCGACACACTCATCCCGATTGCCCCAGTCACCGAATCAATTCATCTCCCAGAGGGCCTTCCCCTCCTGCGCCTGCCCTCCACCCTCCCAAGCATTATGTCCCTCTCCAAGGACTGGTCCCTCCTTACAACATGACCAAAGTATGTCAGACAAAGTCTCAGAATCCTTGCCTCCAAGGAACAGCCTGGTTTAACCCTCTCAAGGATGAATCTATTTGTTTTCTTAGCAGTCTTAGCAAACTGATGCTATAAAGATAATAAATTGAGTGAGATAGAGTGGAGTGTAGCACCAGGTAAAGCCTATCAGGGGAGGTGACATTTGAATGAGAGGAGTGAGTCATGAGGATACAATGGAAGAAGAATGCTCCAGGCAGGTGGTTGCACCTGCACAAGTATTTTCTTTTAAAAGGATTAGCACGATGCTCTTTCCTCTGAGGTGGAAGTTAAAAATGTCCCACGTGTCCAACTTTTCAAGACTGCTGTACCATTCCATCATCTCTAACATCAACTCTTCCCCCTCCCTTCAGTCCTCACTGCCACGTGTGTCTTTGAGTTCTGTAATGCACTTGGAACAGCGCACAGGAATTCACACACTGTCAGTGAGGTTGTAGGGATTGACAGGTTGCTGCTCCATGGATCAGGCCTATTCCCCAGGCAATGGCAGGAAACAGAGTCTTAAACGGCGGCTGGACCAGGTCGATCCATGTGGTGGCAGAAGCTATTGGAAGACAGGCTGGGTGACCACAAGAGGGGGTTTCCAGAACAGCTGGATCAAATCAGGTGTCGAGTGGAAAAGATCATTCTTCTAATTAGATTCCTCTATATAGGATCTCAGGACAATAAGATCACCCCAAGAGAACTAAGTACGACAATTTTGGTCATACTTTATAGTAAAATGGAGATTTAAGATACATCTCACTTTATTCCTTATTCCTTGTTCATTAACACAACAGAGAGCTGTCTCCCGAATGGGGTCACAAGCATAAAGAAGCTATGAATTACAAGTATCTCAAGGTAGAAACAAACTTGGCAGTTGATCAGGAAGACCATTGTGTCCACTACATAGTAGGCAATGCCTGGTGAGTTAGATGATCCTGGGGAAGAGACAAACATCCAAGATCTGTAAGGCATGCAGTTATATATCATATAGTCTCCAGAAGGACACAGAAGTTGTGGTTGCTGTGTTTGCCATCAAGTCAGAACTGACCCATAGCTCACTATCCAATGGGTTCTCAGAGGCAGTAAATTGTGTGGGAGGAGATTGCCCATCATTCTCCCATGGAGAAGCTGGTGGATTTGAACCACGTGACTTTGGGTTTGCAGCTGTTAAATTGACTATGACTTCTAGGACCCTGTGGACATTGTGGAGTGAGGCATAAAAGATCTGTTTTATGTTTTTATAAATAATTCTATAGCTGCTTCTGGTAAGTAGACTTTGGTTTGGAAATAAGAACTAATCAGTATCCTCATAAAATGTAGTTTCAAACCTGGAAACTTAATCACACAGCAATTCTCTTTTAATCTTTTTTTTTTTTACATGATGCTGGATGTTGTATTATTTTGTTCACTCAAAACCTCTCCACTGGCTTTTTTCTTAAACATTAGAAAAACCATTTGCTAAAATTCATTTAGCTAGAAAATATGATTTGTGCTTATCAGCTAATTAAAGATAACATCTTGCCTTAGTCTGAGGGATTTTTTGGGTTAGTTTTGTTTAATCACTTATCTCCTTCTCTGCCCACAGGGATCCCAGTCACCCTTCAGTACCTTATCATTATTATGAGCCTTTTGGACCTGATGAATGTACAATGTATCTTTCCCACGAGCGTGGACGCAAGGGCAGTCATCACCGCTTCATCACAGAAAAGCGAGTCTTTAAGAACTGGGCACGGACATTCAATATTCACTTTTTTCAACCTGACTGGAAACCAGAACCACTTGCTATAAATCATCCTGAGACTAAACCTGTTTTCTGAGGAATAAATGAACCAGACTATGTATAGTCCCAAGGATCCACTTTCTCAGACACCGGGGCACTGAAGCTTCTAAGATCATCAAAACAGGAAAAGTGGCAGAATTTGTAGCAGGAAACAGATGCACTCTTCCACAAGTACCATGGACAGGTACCTACCAGCTATCAATGCAGAGCAACGCAGGTGGTTTTTAAAAAATGGAAATTTTCCAGAATGAATTAATCCTAATGAATGTCCTCCAGCTATCTTAAGAATTGAACATGCATTTTACTGATGCTGCCAAGGCTGAAAACATTTTTGATCTCTTTAAGTATTGCCTTCAAAACTGAAACATGAGCAACTCAACCATGTTAGTTGCATTCCTTTATAGAAACACTGTATCAGATAAAGCCCACTTTTCTATCAAGCTGTATTGTTACCTGATCTATAATAGTTGTTGTCTGTTGGAGTCTGTGTGTGATTTGTAAAAAGCCACCTAAAAGTATGGAAGTGATTTCTGAAGAGCACACCTCCACTGACTTTCATAAAGCAAATGTCCAATATTTATTTATTGAGAGTTTTTTAGTGCATTGTAGGCCAGTATTTTTATAGATTATAATTCTGTGGTAATTTATGCTTCCTAATCTTTTAATACTGAACGATGGTTAGAAAAGCCTAGAATTGAATTTGGTGAGTTGCTGTGTTTACTATGCTCATTGCCAGCATGCCATTGGTGTTTGGTTTGGAAATGTTGTGTCGTGATTTTTTTTTAACCCCTTGGTTTTAGGATATGCTGTTTCATAGCAAGAATAACTATGGCTTTTTTCCAAGGTGCAGGAGTGCTTCCAAAATTATAATATTTAAATAAAAAAACTGCAATATTGAAAAATACTATTAAGAGGAACTTTATATATAAGAACTTTCTACAGTGACTGTGAGGTAAGTCACTTCACTTTATTAAACCCCAGTTCCCTCTTGTACAGAATGATGTTGGTGAACCAGGTAACCTCTGACTTTAGTGCAAATTTAAAATTCTGCAAGCCGATTATTGACCTGGATCTCAACATTAGCAGACCATGTAGGGGGAGGAAGACTTTTCTATTTCCCTACTACCTATCCCACTCTTGTGGCTAGAAACTTGTCTCCACTGACTAAAATCCAGTCCCTGCTTCTTGCACTAAAAAAGAAAGAAAGAAAAGACAGGGTCTATTTCCATGGTGTTCCCTAGCTACGAGAGCAAGAAACTGCAGTTCCATAAGGAGGAGAAAATTCAAGGAGATTTTCTGTCACCCAATTCACTTATCCAATGAATTATTCAAACTCACTCACTGCAAATCTTCTTGGATTTTATTCACTGCCATACTCTGGTCTGGATGAGGATGAGGGACTTATTTTATTTAGAATGAAGATCAATTAGTAGAAAAGATTTTTCATTTACATAAGCAATATTGCTCAAAATTGGACCTTTAATAAAATACCACTGCTTTCTCTACACAAAATTTAGGAGATATTGGTCTCTTTAATGCCAAATTCGAAGACACTAGAAAATTTATGTATACAGACTATATTGTTTAACATAATATATTTGATCTGGCTTGCCATTAAAAATTTCTTACCATGCCACTTCTTCTTGTTTTCTTTAATTAATACTAAGATTATATGCCCTTGAACTAACTAAAGGGGAGAAATTCTGTTGATTATAACCAGTCCTACTGTTAAGATGCAGACAAAGTTCAATATTCACTAGCAGAAACAAATTTGATATTATCTTAGAGTGATTTGTGTTGTGAAAATCCTGTAAAATTGAAATGTTTATCCAAAATACAGGGAGTTCTGAGGGCTTAGTGGTACACTGCTACTGCAAAGCTGTGTAGTTTGGATCCACCAGCTGTTCCAAAGGAGAAATATGGGCTGCAGTCTCCCATATGATTTACTGCCTCTGAAAACCCACTGGAGGGTCAGCTGAGTCGGTTCTGACTCAACAGCGCATAACAACAATCCAAAACATAGTGGAATGTGACTATTCAAATGTTCTAGTAGTTTTTGAAAGGATCAGAGAATTTTATTCTAGTACAATCTCTTGAGCAGAGTGAACTCTAAATATATAATGCTTTAAGAATTTATGAAGATTTCTGTGAATTTTAACCAGTTGATTTATAGGTCACTTTTTTTCTCTGGTTGATCAGATACAGATGGGCAATCTCATCCAGTGAGATTTACAACCTGTGAAAACCTACTAGAGGCTCAGCTATACATTGGTTATTACTCTACAGTACTGATTTCTTTTATCATCATTGGAAGATATAATGTTGCTCAGATATAATAAATTCTTTTAAAATACTTATATTTATAGAAATTTTGAAAGGTATAGTTGGTACTTCTAAGTATAAAGTTTATTTACCTAGTCTACTAATATCTTGTTGGTGGAAGGAGGAGTGGCATCCACTTCCATAATAACTTGCCCCCGGAAACCCTATGAATCTGGAGAGAGGATGAAAGGCACCCAAGCGTCGAGGACTCTCCTTCATAGGGTCACTATGAGTCACCTGCGACTCGACAGCACTTAACAACAACAACACAACAACAACTAATAGCTTAAATTTCTGTATATCTTCAAGGATTCAGTTCATAGATCCAGTGTAGACAACTGAATTTTCATCTTATCACATCACTATGATTTCATGGCTCTCATTCTTAACACCACTCAATGCCATTAAATATAGACTCTGATACAGTAGATGACTATACAGTCATGTTTGCAGGACTCCGTGATTTCGAGATCTATATTGTGTTTGAAACCTAAACCATGCTCATTATGTTTCATACTTTTTTCCTCTCTCCCTAGTTGTGTCATCAGCTTCCTCCTCGCTCTTAAGACCACAGTAATACAATGCCACAGCTGGCCGATCCGTGGCTTCTGTTATTTCAACACAAGAACATTTGGCAGAGGCCATTACGATAGATAGCCATTATGGGCAAAGATACAGGAATGCACAAACAAAATCAATCACTTCAAATGGCCCATAAAAAGAGGAATCTCACATTTAATATTCCACAGTAAATATTCACCCAAGAAAACGTACATTAAAAGAACATTAGGAGGTAAATATTCAGTGTGCTGTGTGGGGACTTAGCTCGATGATTTCCATTAAGGTTAATGGGTGTTGGCAGCTAAGTCCTTGTGCTTCACTGACCCTGGATGTACTCCTAAGGGCTTGACATAAAGCCAAGCAATCTGGGGGCCTTCAAGGTCTCAGATTTCAGAGTGAGACTTTTTCTTTAAAATAAAGAAATAAATGAATGGAGGCAAACCACAAGTCACTGTGCCTGAAAGACACATCTATGCTGTCTCTTGGAATCTTGACGTGGCTATTAGATTCATGTATCACATTCAAAACAACTCCCCTCAGGACACATACTTTTTGCTTCCTGAAGTTTTCTCCATTACTGACCTATTGGGATTCCATTTTTAAATAATTCTCTACCAAAGAACTATAAATTCAGAAGCTTAGTGAAGGCTAGCTAAAAAAGAGGGGGGAAAGAAGACAGTTTAAACTGTTAGGATAGAGATTGTGCTATTTAAACTCATCGATACCTATTTAAGACTGATCAAATGTTAGCCCCTGAGTAGAAATGAATTTAAATTAAAAAACCAAAACACGGATTATACCAGTTAATGATTCAAATCACTGATACACCCTTTCTCTGACAATGATCTACGTTGCTTTTCTTTTCTGTGCAGTGTATCTGTTTCATACCTAACCTAATTATTTTTTCCATTTTCAGTGCTTCTCTCTGGAGCCTCTTTAACTCTCTGCCATTCTTTCCTGATTGTCTTCTTTTGTGTGTCCATTGTGCTCTTAAATCATCAGCATTTAGCTACTGTTCAGATCTTCCCTTTAGAGAATGATCTGTGAAATGACTTTGGGTTATGTCCTATGTAAGCAGTACTCATGGTACCTGGAAGAAATAGGATTGGTTACCAAGTCAAACTGACTCATAACTGACCCTCTAGCAGGTTTTCAGAGGCCTAAAATCACATGGGAGTGGATTACTCATCTTTCTCCTTTGGAGTAGGTGGTGGGTTCAAACAGCTGGCCTTTGGGTATACAGCACAATTCCCTAGTCACTAGACCACCAGAACTCACTTGGTTACTGAGCTTACCAAGCAAGCCACTTCAAAATTACTGTTCTGGTTTGCCTAAGTCTAGGGGGAGGGCAAGGTATCCTGGTGGTGAAACAATTTATGTTTTTATGTTCAGCTTCTAAACTAAATAAAGGTCAGCAATTAGAATTTACCCAAAAGTGCTGCTGGAGAAAGACCTGGCAATCTGCTTTCCTTAAGTTTACAGCCAAGAACATCCTAGGAAGCAGTTCTACTCTGCAACGTACAGGTTTATCATGAGTCTGAATCAATTCCTTGGGGATGGGTTATTGTATTTGAGTGTAGAATAGATTATCAAGGCAATCGGTTACCAGTTCTAAAACCAGTACAATGCCAAGCAAAACGACTACCTGAAAGAGAACTGTAATTCAGATGTACCTTAGAGATGCACCTTAGGTCCAGATTGGCAATCACAATAAAGTGAATCACATGAATCGTTTTTGTTTGCCAGTGCACATAAAGGTTCTATTTACTTTATATTGTTGTCTGTTACATGTCAGCAGTTGTGAGGACGGAACAGGACCAGACAGGGTCTGTTCTGCTGCACAGAGGGTTGCAATGAGCCTAATCTGACTCATCCGTGCCTAACAACAACGGTATGTGAGAGTATCATGAAATAATTTGAAACAGAATGAAAATCACAAAAATATGACATAGAGACAAAGCATGTGCTTACTATTTGGAAACTGATGCCTAATGACTTGCTTGACACAAGCTCGCCACAAATCTTTAATTTGCAAATAACCCAATAACCAAAATGTAGAGTGAAATGCACTAAAACAAGGTATGTCTGTGCTAGTGTGTTGTGAGAAGAGCAGGAAAAGTGAGCCAATTGCCTAGATGCTAGCACGTGTCAGAT